CAGACAGCTGGACGAGCGGATCATCGGTGGAGGACCCGTCGTGAGGACTCAAGTTCCGTATCAAGCCGCCATTACCGTGTCCTTCGTCAATGCGTCAGAATTCTGCGGTGGCACACTTATCCATCCCCAATTTGTCTTAAGTGCAGGTGAGTCCCACACGTGTCCATTCACAATTTCCTGTGGCTGCAGTTGAGATGAATCTGGAGCTATGGATGGATGGGTGGGTTTGCTGCCCTTGCGTGCATTTGGTCAGACAGTAGGAGTAGGTTCTCGCTTCATCACTCGACACTGGCCATGTCTCCTGACTCTCTTATCCACCAGGCACATTCCGACTGATCGAAAACTATGCATGCATAGGAACGATTCCAGCTCCAGTTGCATTCAGAATGCTGTGCAGTGGACAGTGGAGCGAGGCCCATACGGTGTTCCTGTGGCTTATTTTTTGCTGGCCATTTGCCCCTGGGTTTGAAGTGAAGATTTTTTGGGGGGAAACTACGCGGGAGTCACAGAAATGAGTTGTAATTGCACTCTTGGCCAAGATACAGTTTCCAATTGCAGTTCGGGCAATGTATACAACCCAGCTTTCTGGCCAGGTAACTGGAGCAGTTTCTACACCTGCTAATAGCATGGCTCAGTCTCTTTTACTTTTGTGGGGACCAGAAGAACAAGGCGACTTCACTCGTTGGTGTCAATCAGGCTCCCTTTCTACTTTGGTGCCCGAACTGCAATTGCAAACTCTTTTTTTTTTTTCTTTCTTTTTTTTTGTGCCCCATAGTGCAATTATAACTCGTTTTTGTGACTCTACTTCTTTTCTTTTCAAAAAGGCTGCCTGCCTTCTCCTCGTCGGGGGACAGCGAAATCTTTTTCTCTCACCTCACCTATTTTCTTAACACTCCCAGCGTGACTATTTGGAGAAGAAGAATAACGGATTTTGAAGTGGATTGCAAACGGATTTCCATCTCGTATCATTTTCTACTGAGGGTTCATCTGCGATGATCAGAGCATAGGGGCCTCTCTCCGCCAGTGTCGTCCGCTCGGTCGGAACCAGGCCTTCCGAGGCCAGTACGGCCTGCTAACGACATTTCGACGGATTTTCCGGGGCTTTCCCGGGGGGGGGG